CCCAAAAATACAACTGCACTACACGACTACAGTGTGCTCACGAACCCTGCAGCTTTGAAGGGGAAGGACATGGGAATTCTTGTTCCTTACCCACAACACCAGATTTCATACCATGATTTCAATGTACTGAAAGGAAGAAGAGCATTATAAAACTGTAGGAAATAAACCTCTTTTCTTGATCATTTCCCTAACAGAAAGTGTTAAAAAAACCTCAAACATTGGCAAGATAGGAAGCTTTATATAAATTCCTGCACAGGATTAGCACTAACAAGCACTGCATGAGCAGAAATACCCTACAGGTGTACAATGATAGATGTCCATCATCAAACCCATGCTAAAATCCCTGGAAGTGCTCAATTAGAAGTTGCTTGTTTACCTGTGCTGAGTAAGTGAAGCAACAAATATCATGAGGGCTTTGCCAGTGCCTCATGCAGGCAGGAATTTAACAGCCTTTACTTTTGTCTTATTTCTAACAAGACTTAGCACCAGGATGGATTTTCACTAATGACAAAACTGATGTGAAAACACAGCCCGCAGCAGGGCAGCACTTTGCAGGGACACAGCCTATTAGAGGCACATGAAAAACCCATCACCTCCTTCAGCTTTACTGACTCTTTGAGGTCTCGCAGCATAGCATGGATCCCCCTACACCACAGGCCCTTGTCCCAAGCCCCTCTCTGGGTTTCCTGCAGCCCCTTCAGGCACTGGAGCTGCTCTCAGGTCTCCCCTTCAGGAGCCTTCTCTTCTCCAGGCTCACCCAGCCCAGCTCTTTCAGCCTGGCTCCAGAGCAGAGCTGCTCCAGCCCTCGCAGCAGCTCCATGGCCTCCTCTGGCCTCGCTCCAACAGCTCCACGTCCCTCTTGTGCTGCTGCCTCAGAGCTGGATCAGGGCTGCAGGGGGGGTCTCCCCTTCACACAGCAGAGGGGCAGGATCCCCTCCCTGAGCTGCTGCTCACGCTCTGGGGGTGCAGTCCAGCACATGGGGGGGGGAGTTCTGGGCTCAAGCACACACTGAAGCCGGGTCGTGGGGAGCTTCTCCTCACCCAGCACCCCAAGTCCTCCTCCTCAGGGCTGCAGTAGGATTTTCATCCTGTTTAAGGCCACCTTAGCACCAGCGTTGAACGGTTTTATATTTATTATTATTTAGGAATACCTCAGTCAACAAGCCATGTGTCGTGGTGTGCGGTTATGGTGCCACAGGTGTACACACTGCATGGAAAGAATGAGATGGATGCTGACAGAGTTTACAATGGATGGAACTGGTAAAACGTACATTCAAACTGCACAAAATAACCACAAGGGATGAGACTCTAAAGTTAAATGGGATGAAACGAGAGGAAGAAACAAGAACTTTATTTCTTCCCTTAGAAATACTGTGGGTTTGCAGACTGTGCACAGCATAAGCGTTGGTTTGGTTAACTCTGAACAGAGCCAGCAGAATTAAACAGTGTATTGAACATTAAATCCAGCCTTGTATGCACCATGTAACTTTCAGCACAGTCCTGTGAAACACAAAACTCTCCACAACACAAATGGGTGGTTTAGTGGCTTGCTTTTAACCCCTTGGTTTCATACAACATCAGGAAATGGAGCCCCCGAGTCCCAGCTCTCAGTTTCAGATAACCAAGAGATACAGGAGAGGACACAGCAGCCCTGAGAGGGGAACCCCTTCCAAAAGCCATCCAAAGCCTCTTCTTCCTACTCTCTATGCCTATTTCTCTACTAACAGTACAAATTAATCCTTAAATACAACTTTATTGCTCAGCCTCAAAGCCATGTCATTAAACATATGAAGCTTAGCTATAAAATAATTCATATTAAAGGGAGTATTTGATGAAGATGTGTTAGTATTAGCTCATATACCTCCGACATCAATTGCATTACATCTCTCCAAGTATCATGCAAATAATAAGGTGTGAAATAAAGGTTTTAAAACTATGTTTTAAGGAGAGGAGAAACAGTCCTCTCCCATCCATAAATACTAAACAGCTTATTTCAGTCCCAGCCCTGTAGCTGCCTTTTCCATCGGTTCTTTCAGTTATCTGATTTCATGCACCAAGGCAAAGGAGATTTCCTGTAGGAATTGGAGGGTATTTTTATCTTCCAAATGGAGCACTTTGTGTCATGCAGCTTACACATGGACCTCCTAGAGGGTAGCACCCAGGCTGCTGCTCCTCCAGAGGATCAACCCCTGGTCTTTGAGGCAATCCAAACCTCAGATTCCATTCTGTAGCAACGAGCCTCGATCAAAAAGTCACCCAGTCCTGAAAACACCTTTTCTTTAGGTGTAATAAAACCTCCATGTCTCTGCCATTCTGCTTAAAGCTCCACTTTGGCACGGGGCTCTCAATGTGTTCTGTCACAGCTCTCCTGAGCTCAGCTCCCCACGATTACTACCAGCTGCTTTCACTTTGCAACCGCCACTTCCATCTCTGCAACCAAGCCATAGCCCTGCTCCAAGGAATTCTTTACTACAAGGGTGCTGAGGCGCTGGCACAGGGTGCCCAGAGAAGCTGTGGCTGCCCCATCCCTGGCAGTGTTCAAGGCCAGGTTGCAGACAGGGGCTTGGAGCAAGCTGCTCTCGTGGAAGGTATCCCTGCCTGTGGCAGGGTTGGAACTGGATGAGCTTCAAGGTCCCTTCCAACCCAAACCATTCCATGATTCTATGATTATCTTGCCCTCCTTTTACCACAACCAGGCACCTGCTTGGAAGGACAAGGTTCTCCTCACACCTTTGGAAGTGAAGTCACGACATTCCCTTCAAAGCCATCCCATTTCCAACCCCTCTGACTCAGTGTTAGAGCTGTTCGTCTCCAGTCAGGACTAGACACTGGTCAATCTTCTCTCAGTTTCCAAAACTGCTTAAAGGGTTTGACAGCTATATTGGACTATCCCAGATTTCCCATCATCTGAAGCAGGCACTTCAGGCACTTGGCAGAGTTCACCTCCTCTACAGCTCCATGTAAGTGTCTGCTGCTGAGGAGTAACACTTAAATACACCCCTCTCCCCCAACCCTGCTTTCAGCAGCTCTTCAGGTACCACCCAGCCAAATCACGACACGTTGGATCCTCCCTTCAAATACAGATGGCAAAAAGAGCTGCTGAAGAGCAACCCCAGCACCAGCCACCCCCCCTCAGCACTCTTCCTGCAGTGACACCTTTGCCTGCTCCATCGCCAAGGAGAGGGGGCTGGAGAAGCTGGGTCCCGGTGCCGTTTGGGGGAGCAGGGTCAGACTGGTCTTTCCCATCATGTCAGCATCCAGGGACAGCCACCATGCTGCCACCCTAACCCCGCCCCCCCAAGCAATCAGCACCACAGCCCCTGATCCTTCCCAGCAATGTGTAACCCACCTCCTAAAGCAACCCATAGCTCTGCCAAAGGACAGAGCCCCCCAGCCTGCCCGCACATGGGGGACCCTCTCCCCTCAGCTGCCATCTTCCAAAGAGGATCCCCTGCTCCTAAACCACCCCTGATAATGAGCACCCTCCTGTTCAGACCCTCCCCCAAAATGACCTCCCCTCTCTCCAGACCCCCCCAATAACAAGCACACACCCCTCCAGACCACCAGGAATGAGCACCATTCCTCCTGATCCCCATAAAACGGGTGCCCCCGCCCTCCAGACCCCCCCAAAACTACCTCCCCTCTCTCCAGACACCCCAACAACGAGCATCCCTCTCTCCAGACACCCCAACAACGAGCATTCCTCTCTCCAGACCCCCAGTAATGCGCACCCCCCTCTCCAGACCCCCAGTAATGAGCACCCCTCTCTCCAGACCCCCAGTAATGAGCACCCCCCTCTCCAGACCCCCAGCAATGAGCACCCCTCTCTCCAGACCCACCATAACGAGCATCCCTCTCTCCAGACCCCCAGCAATGCAAACCCCCCTCTCCAGACCCCCAGCAATGAGCATCTCTCTCTCCAGACCCCCAGTAATGAGCACCCCTCTCTCCAGACCCCCAGCAATGAGCATCCCTCCAGACCCCCAGTAATGAGCACCCCTCTCTCCAGACCCACCATAACGAGCATCCTTCTCTCCAGACACCCCAACAACGAGCATCCCTCTCTCCAGACCCCCAGTAATGAGCACCCCTCTCTCCAGACCCACCATAACGAGCATCCCTCTCTCCAGACACCCCAACAACGAGCATCCCTCTCTCCAGACCCCCAGTAATGAGCACCCCTTTCTCCAGACCCACCACCACGAGCATCCCCCTCTCCAGACACCCCAACAACGAGCATCCCTCTCTCCAGACCCCCAGTAATGAGCACCCCTCTCTCCAGACCCACCACCACGAGCATCCCTCTCTCCAGACCCCAATAACAAGCGCCATTCCCACCAGAACCCCCAATAACGAGCAGCCGCCCCCCCCAGATTCCCCCAAACGAGCATCCCTCCCTCCAAACACCCCAATAACGAGCACCCCTCCCTCCAGACCCCCCCCAAAACGACCTCCCCTCTCTCCAGACCCCCCGGTAACGAGCCCCCAGCCCCAACTGCCAGCGAGCCCACAGTACCGAGCATCCCTCCCCTCCCCCGCTGCTACCCACCTCTTCCCCCCCCCCCCACATCCCCTCAGCCGCCGCCTCCCTTCCCCCACCTACCCCATGCGCATCTTGGAGCCGGACTGACCGCCGCCACCGGGCAGCGGGGGCCGCGGCGGGAGGCGGCCGAGGTGCAGCTGCTTCTCCAGAGCCGACATGAGGGCGCAGGAGGCGATAGGAGACACAAGGACACACCGCGGAACAACCACCCCCCCCCCTCCCCGCCACGGGGTTCGGCCGCCGCCAGCCCCCGCTCCGCGCACACCGGAAGCGGGTTCCCCCTCACAGCGCCGCCGCGCGGCACCACGGGGCGGGCAGGAGGCCCCCGCGGGCACCCGTAGCGCACTCCCGGGGCATTGTGGGAAATGTAGTCCACGCCTCCGTAAAGTGTTAAGGGAGCGCGGTGCATGACGGGAGTTGTAGTCCAGGAAGTGCGGCTCTGAGGCGGCGCGTCCCGGTCCCGCTCCCGCCCAAGCGGCGGTTGCCGGGCGGCCTGAGGCGAGGCGAGATGCGGCAGAAGAGGCCGAGGGCGATGGGCCCGGCGGCGGGGGGCGGCCGGCGGAGGGGAGGTGGGACGGGTCCCGGAGGGGCGGTAGGCCGGTGGCGTGGGCTGAGGGGCGGCGGGGGGCAGCGCGGAGTCGTGCGGGGCCGTGGTCGGGAAGTGAAGGGCTCGGAGCGCGGCGCTCAGAGGTGTTCGTACGAGCGGCTTTAACATGGTTTGTAATGGGTCACAGAATCAGCTGGGTTGGAAAAGAGCTTCAAGCTCATCCAGTCCAACCATCCCCAGCACTGCCAAGGCCACCACTGCCCCATGGCACTGAGGCCTCGTCTCCACGGGGTGTGAACCCTTGCAGGGCCGGTGACTGCAGCCCTGCCCTGGGCAGCCTGTTCCAATGCCTGAGCACCCTCTGGGGCAGGAATTGTTCCTCAGCTCCATCTAAACCTGCCCTGGTGCAGCTTGAGGCCGGTTCCTCTTGTCCCATCCCTTGTTCCTTGGGAGCAGAGCCCAGCCCCTCCTGGCTCCATCCTCCTCTCAGGCACTTGTAGGCAGCCATCAGGTCTCCCCTGAGCCTTCTCTTCTCCACACTGAACCCCCCAGGTCCCTCAGCCCTTCCCCATCACACTTGGGCTCCAGGCCCTGCTCCAGCTCCGCTACCCTTCTCTGGCCCCACTGCAGCACCTCAGTGTCTCTCTGGGAGTGAGGGGAGATACTGGGTTAAAGGCACAACTTAACAGGATTCTATGGCAAGGTTCATTCTCATTACATGGGTGAAGCATAGAAAGGGAAATCAAGGTGAAATCGAGCTAAATCTTACTGATACAGAGATCAAAAACATAAAGGGAAACTGTCCTGTTGAATCACAAGGTTTGCTTTCTAAAGTCCTGAGGGATCCTTGGTGCAGCCAGGTCTAGTCTGAGTCTCAGACTTGGACAGTGGTTTATACAGGGCCTAAGGAAATCCCTGTTGAGTCATGAGGTTCAGAATAGACCCCCTTGCTTTGTAACCGCTGGTAGAGCCTGGGTGCAGCTGGGTCTAGTCTTAGTCTCAGACTTGGTCAGTGGTTTTCATCTAAAGGCTTACAAGTGTCATTTAGCAGCAGTTTGCAGTTTTAATGTGGATCTTGTAAACTGAGTCAATGGAATTTACTATACAATTGTTATAATGATCTATGCACGCAGGAAGTCATGTCTATCATGGAGACTGGTTTGGGTTGAAGGGAGCTTAAAGCTCATCCAGTTCCAACCTCTTGCCATGGGCAGAGACACCTTCCACTAGAGCAGCTTGCTCCAAGGCTCATCCAACCTGCCCTTTGATTCCCAAGGTCATGGAGCAGCCCAGAAGATGGGGGTGGATTCACCACCACAGCCACCGACCACTTGGTCCCTTGTCCCCACAGGTCTCGATGACATCCCTGCTTCCACCAGCCTGCCACCGCTCGTGGAGGGACCCCTGCGCTGCTTCCTCCGCTGCACCGTGGCCCGAGCCCTCTGGACGACCCCAAAGCCACCCTCTGCTGCCACTCTCGTGCGCCTGAGGTGGTGGGGAGAGACCTCTGATGGCACCGTCTTCCAGCCCACCTCCCGACCAGGGCAGCCAGGAGGGAGAACCACCGCTCGCTACCCAGTCCGCTGTGGGCCCAGGCAGTTTGCTGCCTACCTGACAGGTAGAGATGCTTCACCCTCATCAGGGCCAGAGCTACAGGCAGCCCTGAAAGAGCCAAGCAGTTATTTACCCACCAAGTAACCCTTGTCCTGGTCTCACTTATGGCTTTTTAGATTGGTTTCCTGATTTGGAAGGCTTTTAATCTCAGCTTGAAATTGCTGGCATCAGTCTCTCTAGTGTCAGCTTTAGCATTTTAGGTCTGCAAACTACTGAAATCTCCTGTAGCCCCTAGTGTCAAGATTTGGTGATTTTTATTTTTATCCATATCATATTAAATAGGCATTTCAGTTTTTGAATGTGTGAAGAAGGGTGTAAAGAATAAGAAGATATACAGAAGAGCTTCTGAGGTTGTTAAGGTACTTAATTTAGTGAAAGCTCTGCAGGAAATTAATGCAAGCAAATTAATGTCTAGAGTCTGTCTGAGAGATTGAGATGAGATTTTAGGCAGAAGCTCTTCCCTGTGAGGGTGCTGAGGCGCTGGCACAGGCTTCCCAGAGAAGCTGTGGCTGCCCCATCCCTGGCAGTGTTCAAGGCCAGGCTGGACACAGGGACTTGGAGCAGCCTGCTCTGGTGGAAGGTGTCCATGCCCATGGCAGGGGTTGGAACTGAATCAGCTTTAAGGTCCCTTCCAAGCCAAACCATTCCATGATTCTATGATTATTAACCCCTTGTATCTCTGTCACCTTAACAAAAAAGTTTTGTGTTTAATTGTGATCGCATTGTGGGAGACTGAATTGAAGCTGTTCCTAATTTCACAGATATGGGTGTGCTTGTCCTGGAGGTAATGACCAAACTGGACCATCTTCCCATTGGCAGAGTACAAATCAGCAGCCTGTCCCAGCTTTCTCCCAGCCATCCCATCAGTGGGGTTTTCCCCATCATTTCACCCACATCTGATAAACTTGGAGAGCTGCAGGTACTCCTCCTTATGGCTTTGCTCTTTGTAATTTATAATTATAAGTCATATTGCTGTAACATCTGTAACATAATCAGGTGCCTGGATCAAGCGGTAGTAGGTGCACTGCAGAGCTGGTCCCTGTCCAAGGCATTCATGAGTTCAGGTAGCTAATGGAATATGAATACTGAACAGTGTTGACTTTGTTCTCTTTAGGATTGTGTAGTTCAACTTTACAAAGTTGAGTGAGTTTTAACAGCAGATTTCAAACCAGATACTCAGTTATAACACTTCCCCAGAGCCTTACTGGGCTGACGTTACAGCAGATATTGAAATCTGGGATTAAGAAGGTGGAGTTCTCCTTTACAACCCCAAATCCGGGCAATTTATGCTGCAAGATAGTTGCCTGTGGTTTGAAAACAGGGAATATAAAATAAGTAGTTATAAACATGTCAGTTTTCTGATGTTACATCACTGCATGACATAAATACTACTCTGCACAGAACAGCAGCAGTTTTTCATGGCATGACAAGTAAAGTTGAGTGCAATGTGTCTAGGGCTTAATGAAGAAAACAACAAAATGCTATTTCATACTCTGTCCCTCAGGTCTCACTGGCTCTAGAACCTCTGCCAGGACGGTACGACACCAGCAGCTCTATCCCAACCACAGATGGGAGTTTGGATACTGCTCCTGGAAGCAGCAAACCCCAAATCCTTGCTCCATCACAGCAGTCCAGGCAAACACAAGTGACTGTTGCTGACCAGGAGGCTGTTAACAATGGCAGAGCCTCAACTCACAGGTACCTTTTTGTTCTCAAAATGCTGGTTTATTTTGCAGTTCACACATTTCTTAAGGCTATACACTTGTGAGTTATGGAATACTTCATCTTTCTGAACGTGCATTTCAGATAGAATCCAGAACACCCAGTGTTTCAAAGCTTGCAGGGACAGTTTCTCATCTGATACAAATCTACATCCTGTGATGACTTAGTTTGAGCAATGGTAGTTGACAACAAGAGGTGCCACAAATCTTTTATTGACAGCTTGAGTCGGTTTCTCTGATGGTGTAAGTGGAAATAATGGGTGTAAGTTTAGGCTGAGAAAGCTGGGGCTATTCAGCCTGGAGAAGAGAAGCTGCGTGGAGACCTCATAGCAGCCTTCCAGTATCTGAAGGGGGGCTATAAGGATGCTGGGGAGGGACTCTTCATCAGGGACTGTAGTGGTAGGACAAGGGGTGATGGCTTCAAACTTAAACAGGGGAAGTTTAGATTGGATTTAAGGAAGAAGTTCTTTACTGTGAGGGTGGTGAGGCACTGAAATAGGTTGCTCAAGGAAGCTGTGAGTGCTCCATCCCTGGCAGTGTTCAAGGCCAGGTTGGCTGGAGTCTTGGGTGACATGGTCTAGTGCGAGGTGTCCCTGTCCATGGCAGGGGGGTTGGAACTGGATGATCTTAAGGTCCTTTCCAACCCTAACTGTTCTATGATTCTAAGATTCTAAGTTAACGTAGTGCATCACGTTTCTTTTTGGAGCATGTACTGAAGGGGGGCAGCTGCAGAGCTGGGGAGAATTTGAAGAGGTTTGAGTCAGAGGTTGTTCAGCCTGGAGAAAAGAAGGCTCCTGAAGGGGAGACCTGAGAGCAGCTCCAGTGCCTGAAGGCCTGCAGGAAACCCGGAGAGGGGCTTGGGACAAGGGCCTGTAGGGCCAGGCCAAGGGGAATGGCTTGAACCTGCCAGAGGGGAGATTGAGCTGAGCTCTTAGGCAGAAGCTCTTCCCTGGGAGGGTGCTGAGGCGCTGGCCCAGGGTGCCCAGAGAAGCTGTGGCTGCCCCATCCCTGGCAGTGTTCAAGGCCAGCTTGGACACAGGGGCTTGGAGCAAGCTGCTCCAGTGGAAGGGGTCCCTGCCCATGGCAGGGGGTTGGAACTGGAGGAGCTGTAAGGTCCCTTCCAACACAAACCATTTCATGATTCTCTGATGATTCTCTGAATCCCTTTCACCGATCCACTTGACTGAAATAATGTTTCTCTTTTTTAACAGAGGAAAGGACCATTTTCTCTTTCAAGAGAACTCTGAAAACATAAAGGACACTTTCCCTGCTTCTCATCATCCTCTGATTTTACCAGATGAATGTTTGAAAATGAATCATTCAAATGAAGAAGTGTCATTTCCCACCAGTGCTGATCCTGAAGGACCTGCCAGAACAAACACTCGGGTGCTCTCTTTACATAGCCCAGCTACAAAAGACCTGCTTTCAGGTTACTATATAGTCAGCATCATCTTTTAGATTTCACTGCCAGTAGCTCTTGATATTTCAGGTGCCTATTTGGAGATAAAGACTTAAGGAAAAGTGATTCTTTGAATGCTCTCACCACATTATTTCAAACAGTTAATTATAACACAGATGTCTTTACTTAGAAACTACTGATCCGGTCCTGTTGGAAGATGGTGTGAGTATTCAGCTGAGGCAGAATGTGCAGTCCTAGCTGTATGCTGCTCTGACCAGGAGGGGTAAAAGAAAAGGAAGCTCAGCTTCACAGGCTGTTTATTCATTGACAAATCTGCTGAGGTGGCCATCAAAGGTGCCACTCATGTGAAAAAAAGAAAAACAAAACATGGAAGGGTTTCTGTGCCTGTAACTTTTCGGATGGAAAATGTTCTCTTTTCCATCACCTGTCAGTTGAAATCATAGAATCATGGAATGCTTTGGCTTGGAAGAGACCTTAAAGCTCATCCAGCTCCGACCTCCTTCCATGGGCAGGGACACCTTCCACTAGAGCAGCTTGCTGCAAGCCCCTGTGTCCAGCCTGGCCTTGAACACTGCCAGGGATGGGGCAGCCACAGTTTCTCTGGGCACCCTGGGCCAGCGCCTCAGCACCCTCACAGGGAAGAGCTTCTGCCTAAGAGCTCAGCTCAGTCTCCCCTCGGGCAGGTTAAAGCCATTCCCCTTGGCCTGTCCCTGCAGGTCCTTGTCCCAAGCCCCTCTCCAGCTTTCCTGCAGCCCCTTTAGGCACTGGAGCTGCTCTCAGGTCTCCCCTTCAGGAGCCTTCTCTTCTCGAGGCCCTTCCAACCTAAACCATCCTCTGATTTTATGATTTATTGTGTTTATAGATATTGCTTTTAAATTGCATTTGAATGCTGAGGTTTAATCCTTCGTCTCATCACTCAGCTCTTTTGGATCAAGGCAATAAACTCCGTGATGCCATGGTTGTGTCTGCAATGAAGTCAAGCCCAGACATGGAGATTGAGCTGACCGAAGTGTCTCCTTTTATAGAGAGAGAGAATTTCAAAGCACCAGCCAAGTGAGTTTGGAAAGGGGGAAGTGAGATTAAGTTCCAAACCACAAATTTTGAAGCCTTACCAGGAAAACTTTTGGTAATGTATTTTAGGATTCTCATTCAAATGGGAAATTAATTTCTACTTGTGAATAAAAGCCTGATTTTGTGAATTGATTTTAATCATCATGTAGTAAAGCCTTGATTTAACTCATTGATTTGAATTTCTTTTCCCAGTGTATTTGTATTTAGTACAGAATTATTTGATAAGGAAATATTAGATGTTGACAAGGAATAAGAGCAATGGAAGGGACATAGCAAATGAAATGGTACTTTAGCAGAGAGAAGAGGTTTTCAAAGACACTAGTGGCATAAATTGAGTACTTCTCTGTATTCTGGTTTGCATCTCTTGGTGCCAAAATACACATGAGAAGTTGAATCTCTGTATTCTCAGAATTACAAGTCATTATCTTCTATGCAACATTTATCAGCTGACTGCTAAAGTGTTTGTGCCTTTTCAACCCTAACTACACCTTTGTTTAGTACTGGGCTTAGTAAAAGTTCTCAATCCAGTGGAATTTAGAAGCATTAAGACAAATGCCTGGGTTTTACAGGAGAAACTTATTATTTGGGGAAAACCAGGAATATTGGCTTTTGTTCCTCTATAAACCAGAAAATCATGTTATTGCCTTAAAGAGTCACTGTTGCTGTTGCAAACACAGTTTGAATTATTTCTGCTGTAGCTACTCCAGTTTGTTTTAAAATAGAGGATTTTGGTCTTTCCAGGAAAAATTGATAGATCATCATTTAGAAACATCTCACTTGTCTTTCTCCTGCTCTTTATCTTCTTGTTTGCAGCAGCTCTGCTTATAGTTGGACTCAGTGATTTCCAAGCTAGATATTTCCATGGTTCTATGAGACATTGCAAAGTATAAGATTTGGATGTGACTTGCAGCAGACTGCAGGGCTGCAGAAGGGTTTTGTGTATCTAGAGATTTAGATACAAACTGGGGAAGGTTGTTCATAACCTTTCATTTTTATCCTGGATGGATTAATCTTGAACATGCCTTAATATCTTTATTTGTCCTTTTACTCTCTGCTGCAATCACTGTTATCCAGGAGCCCCAAAGGCTTGAACTCAAGTTTTCTGCCCACTCTTCAAGATCCCCATCCCCTTCCTTCTGAAGTTTCTGGTCAGCAACTTGATCTGAACTCTGAAGAGACAGCAATCGAGCTACTCTTGGGCAGGTGAGTGGGATCATAGAATCATAGAATAGTTAGGGTTGGAAAGGACCTTAAGATCATCCAGTTCCAACCCCCCTGCCGTGGGCATGGGCACCTCATACTAAACCATCTCACCCAAGGCTTTGTCCAACCTGGCCTTGAACACTGCCAGGGATGGAGCATTCACAACCTCCCTGGGCAACCCATTCCAGTGCCTCACCACTCTGTGCACTGAAAGTTAGTCCAAAATGGTCCTTATTTGATCACTTTATACTGAAATATGTCTCTTGACTCTTCAAGTTCTCCACAATCCTGGAAATGAAGCAGTGACGCAAACATGTGCAAGTGGTGGGTGGCTTGCACTAAACTTTAGCAGATGACAACCACGATGCCTCAAAGTCCCTTGAGATAAAAGTGATGCTAGAAAGGTTAACCATGATATCTAATAAAATTAAGTTATTTGATGGTTGGAACTGTTGTGTCCTAAAATGTTTAAAGTACATAAAACAAATACAGTTTCTTTGAAGAATCTGCAGTCTTTAAATTAAAAATTGAGACAAACAGTAGTTATCTTTAATCTTCCTCCAAGTATTAAATTGACCTTTTCTTCTCATTTTGTGTAGCAAAGGCATAAAAGATGCTTGTACTGTGTCCCAGTCAGGGATATGAAAGAATCACAAAAGGGCTTGTGTTGGAAGGGACCTTAAAGCTCATCCAGCTCCAACCCCCTGCCATGGACAGGGATCCCTTCCACTGGAGCAGCTTGCTCCAAAGCCCTGTGTCCAAGCTGGCCTTGAACACTGCCAGGGATGGGGCAGCCACAGCTTCTCTGGGCCAATATAGCACAAATCCCATCTAAAATACAACAGGATTGTCAGGATTCATGAAATACTGACTGCAGAGCTTGCAACACTAAGTCATGTTCCTTTTTCTTGTCTCCACAGTGCTGATTTCCCCACTGAGCCTTTCTGGGATCGGACAGGTTCCCTTTGGGATTCTCTGTCTCTTGGCAGTGAGGTGTATGACAGCGAACTCAATGATCCTCATTACGACCAGAGTCTGCTGGAGAGTCTTTTTTACACAGCTCCTGTAAGTGGAGATCTAAAGACAGGTGCTTGATATGTAGTCCCTAAGGGGAAGAAAACCAGAAATCTTCATAAAACCAATGAAAAAATCAATATTATAAGGCTTAATAAGCATTAAATATCATACAGAAGCTTGTGAGAACATTGCTTAAAATTACTATTATTAAAGGAATACTATTAAGGCTTCAAAGTCAAACATGGAGTGTGGAAGTTGCTGGGATTGAGGCTGTCCCTGAAGGCTTTTTTCTTTTAAACCTCTGAAAACTTTTGATCCAATTTTAATTGTTTCAACTGATTCAATCCACAGACTGGTTTTATTTTATGTGTCATGACCATTATGTACCTTTCTTGACAACCAGCATCGACTTCTTACTTTATGTGCATTATTTCTGTTGCAGAAATCTGATTCCAGTTTAAGTGATTTGCTCAGTGATGATGATGATGATGTAAACTCCTCCAGGAAAGTAACCAAGGCACAAACTGGCAAGAACACTGATACAAGAAACCCTCAGAAGGATTCTAATGCCTTTGATCAGGATCAGAAAGTGACAGAAATTGTACCCAGGTAATTTAGTGACTTGTTTTGCAGCATCTTGCTCATTGTAAGTTAGTATTAGCAATAATCACATGATGTTATTATGCTCTGTCATGATCCCACAACTCATTGAATAACCTTTTTGGCTTGGAATGTTTCTTAGCATCACTGGGAATGCTGGAGCATCAGCATCACGCAGGAATTGCTGTTTGTTAAAGAAGCAATTGAGATGCAGTTAGTTAAAATCATGAGTAGACAAAAAATGTAATCATAGAATGGTTTGGATTGAAAGAGGCCTTAAAGCTGATCCAGCTCCAACCCCTGCCTCGGGCAGGGACCCCTTCCACTGGAGCAGCTTGCTCCAAGCCCCTGTGTCCAACCTGGCCTTGAACACTGCCAGGGATGGGGCAGCCACAGCTTCTCTGGGCACCCTGTGCCAGCGCCTCAGCACCCTCACAGGGAAGAGCTTCTGCCTAAGAGCTCAGCTCAGTCTCCCCTCGGGCAGGTTAAAGCCATTCCCCTTGGCCTGGCCCTACAGGCCCTTGTCCAAAGCCCCTCTCCAGCTTTCCTGCAGCCCCTTTAGGCACTGGAGCTGCTCTTTTCTTTCTCCTGAAATACTAATCACTGTGTGACCTTCATGATAAATTAATCCCTGTGCTGAAAAACACAAACTCCAGAGAGCTTTGTGCATTTCTCTGGCCTTGTGTAGGTACCAGATACAAAATAACTCCCATCCTGTTATCTGCCTTTGCACAAGGTCTTTCTGTGTATAAAATATGTATCTGCTTTCCAGGGACAGAGTTTGAATCAGCAGTTTGTTTCTCTGCTGATTTGTGTTCTCTCTTATAGCTGTCATAAATAAACCTCTCTTCTGACCTGATCTACATTATATTCAGTTTTCTCCATGACAGAACCAGTAAACATGTCCCTATAACTCCAGTTATTGAGCTTTACTGCTTCAATACCATTTAGTGTTATGGTTTTATGACTTTTTTTTTTCCCTAATTCAGCTCCAAACATTTTTTTCTGCAACTTTTCTTACAGCTACTCTTATTTTTACATTCAGGTAAAGTTCCTCGCTCCAGAAGTACGAACACCCATTTACAAGTCAAATCTTATAAATAATTGCAAGTGAATTGCTGTTCCTCTGCAGCAGTAACTTGTCTGTGTGTGTCACTGTATCATCTCCTTTTCTTTGTATTTGACATTAAATGAAGCTTTTCTTTTTGAAGAGTTTGACTGCTTAAGATTTATGCAAAACTTCAACAATGTGGAACATGGGCTTTTTATTTCTTCTTTTCCCACTTATGTACCTCAGCTATTGTATATTGTAAGATTTCTGTTATAGAGACCACCAGATTTGTTGTAAAATACATTTAAAACCATTCTTTTTAGGGAACCATGATCAGTATTTAACTAATATCCCACCAAGCTACGATATTCCTTTCAGGTGGTCATTCCTGTAGTGCTGATTCTCTGTTTTCTCTCTTCAGCCACTCTGCTATCAGACCACTTGCTCCTCCAGAAGATCTCACAGAAGCTGCTTGCATCACATCCTTGGGTGCAGACAGGTTGGCATTGCTGGAGCGAATCCACCTGGCCAGAGTCATCATTGAAAGCTTGAAAATCCCTCCTGAGAGCATCCAGGTCTCACCAAGAAAGAAAGGTGCTATGGGGAAGCCTCCAAGGCCTGTATCAGTTAGCAAGCGGTAAGGAAGATTGTTTCTCACCAGCTGGATACTTGTGCCTTCAAGACAGATTCCTCTGAGTTCTGTGTGTAGTCCAGTACTCCAGGATTCTGAGGTCATCCCATTTCTCTGCTCTGCATTCCAGTACCTTATGTGGCTTACAAGAAAGCTGGGAAGGGGCTTTGGGCAAGGGCCTGTAGGGACAGGCCAAGGGGAATGGCTTGAACCTGCCCGAGGGGAGACTGAGCTGAGCTCTTAGGCAGAAGCTCTTCCCTGGGAGGGTGCTGAGGCGCTGGCACAGGGTGCCCAGAGAAGCTGTGGCTGCCCCATGCCTGGCAGTGTTCAAGGCCAGGTTGGACACAGGGGCTTGGAGCAAGCTGCTCCAGTGGAAGGGGTCCCTGCCCGTAGCACAGGGTTGGAACTGGAGGAGCCTTAAGCTCCCTTCCAACCCAAGCCATTCCATGATTCTGTGGTTCTTTCAGAGCATAGTATACTATGGGCTTTGGAAAATTAGAGATGTGGATAATTTATCCTGGCATGGGTTCACTTCAGGTTGTGCATTATCAGGGATTTTGGGGAGGTACAAACGTGGTTTGTGCATGGCAAATCATTGAAACAAAAGGGGTATTTTTTGTGCAGAATCTGACATTTACACAATCTGTTGAAGTAATTAATGAAATAGGTACTTTGGTTATTCTAAAGAAGTAGAATAACAGTAGATTGTGAGTATGCCTCTTGCCTCTGTGCTCACTTCTGTTATGTCCAGTACCTTTCTGGTGGATTCTGATCATCCATTCCCTTTTTAACTCGCAGTACCTTCTTTGTTGAGTACCACTTTCCAGTGGGAGCCTTCAGGGATGAAAAAGGACAGATCTCCATAACAACAGAAGTAACTCGAATAGCTTCAAGTAAAATCACAAATGATGGTGAGAACATTCTTTTCCCCCTTTACATTAGTTTTGTTGAATCTTTCATCTCTTAGAAATTGTTTAGTAGCATTTCCTATGTATTCTCTTTGCTGCTGTATGATTTGTGGCACCTCTGCCAACACAGTGCAGGTCAATAAGCCCATTCCTTCATGTGAATAGAAACCAAATATCCTTTCTGCTGTAGTATGAGGATGACAAAGTACTTTCAGAAATATCAGAGATACTTATATCTCAAATAAATCATTTTTCCAGATGTTTTAGTATGTCATGTAACATCTGCAAGAGCTCATATTGCTGGATCTGAGAGATCTTGAGTGCTCAAATCAATCAACGTTAATCTCTTTACTGGGAGTCACCAGTGTTTCTATCTCTGAGAACAACTGACATTATGTTTCCTCAGTGAGCAGAGACTGCTGGATGAACAAGATTCTTTTTTCCCTGTCTTCCAAGCAACTGGAATTCTGGGGTTACTTTCTAATATCTCTCCCATAGGGTCATTCATTGGCTTTGCATCTTTGTAGGTGGCTCTTGAGAGATCTGGGGGGAATTCTGAGTTGTCTGTTTGTGTCCAGCCAAAGCACGTAATTCTTCTGAACCTCAGCTCTTTGTACTAAAGAAATAACACATCCTCCTGCAGTAGAGTCCAGCTTTTTGGAGCCCTGAAAAACAGGCAGGGCTGAAAGTAACTTGAAGCCATCGGGTCCATCCACTGTGTCATTCTCTTTCCTGGTTGCTCTTTATCTTAGTTATTAAGGTGCCCTATGGGAAAGGTTCCATAGCCAGTCCAGGCAAGGTGTAAAAGTGCTGTGCTTCCTGTCGGTCAAGTTTCCTCATGTCTAACTGGAGCGTTTTGACATCACAGGAATACTTTATCCATCTGAACAAGGAAGAATTGTTCCTGTACTTCTTGCTCTTCTATTTTCTAGGCTAAACACCAATTCATTGAGTCTTTTCTTGCAAATATTACTTTTCTCCTGAACCTGTGGTGATTCTTATAACTCAGCTTTGACTAGCTCAAGATAGGTCTTGGAATATATTGCTTCAAAAGGAGACAGGGTTCTCCAGGTGAGGAAGGAAATGTTTTACTGTATGCTGGCATGACAGAAACTTGGTATCAACTTCACACTTTAGATGCTGCTATAATAAGGATTTTTTTGTGCTGCTCAGCAAAGGGGCTACAAGAAACTTGAAGAGAGGGGCTTTGGACAAGGGCCTGCAGGGACAGGCCAAGGGGAATGGCTTTAACCTGCCTGAGGGGAGACTGAGCTGAGCTCTTAGGCAGAAGCTCTTCCCTGGGAGGGTGCTGAGGTGCTGGCACAGGGTGCCCAGAGAAGCTGTGGCTGCCCCATCCCTAGCAGTGTTCAAGGCCAGGTTGGACACAGGGGCTTGGAGCAAGCTGCTCCAGTGGAAGGGGTCCCTGCCCATGGCAGGGGGTAGGAACTGGAGGAGCTTTAAGGTTCCTTCAACCCAAACCGGTCTGGGATTCTCTGATTCTATAATTTAATAGGTTGAAACCTTGAGAGATTCATATTGAGGGTTTCAGCTCTTCCTCCTTCAGCTCCTAGCCTTGGTTGATCTCTGTGCACATGCTCACTGTGTGTTTGACAGTCCTTCTCGGAAGTGCTAGCACTTTCCTTCACACCTTCTGATCATAGAATCATAGAATGGTTAGGGTTTGAAAGGACCTTAAGATCACCCAGTTCCAACCCCCTGCCATGGGCAGGGACACCTCACATTAAACCATATCACCCAAGGCCTCGTCCAACCTGGCCTTGAACACTGCCAGGGATGAAGCATTCACAACCTCCCTGGGCAACCCATTCCAGTGCCTCAGCACCCTAACAGGAAAGAATTTCCTCCTTATATCCAATCTCATGTGTCTCTTCTCACCCTGCATTCCCTCTGCAGAGACTGAAGTTTTATCGGTTGCTGATCCAGCTCAACAGACAGGTTAGCTCTGAACCCAGCTGGGAGCTCACACAACTCTCTCTTCCTTGCAGTGGTGACATTCCAGCAGCGGTTTGTGTTCCCTGTCCGCTTTGGTGGAGCGATGATAGAGCACTGGTGGAGCTCTGCTCTTGCTTTTAAAATCTACATGAGAAAAAGCACACAGAAAAAGGTATTTAATAAAAGTTATTTCTGTTTTCTGTATTGAAAAGCAAAGAAATTCTGTGCATTTCTACTTCCTCCAAACACACAGGCAGCAGTGGCTTTTCTAAGTCTTCTGCAATGCTTCATTATAATTGCTGACTGTCAGAGACAAAACTAAGTGGTGTGGCTTGACTTGAGCCACTTCTTAATCAACCATTGCCAGGTATTATGAAGGGGAATGACATAATGTTCAGATCCTGTGAGTTGGACTGATTGCTGTTCAGTCTTGTCACCCAACTGAAGGATTGTCTGAGTTTGAGACAGATAGGCAGAAAGAAATTGTCCTTCATCTTTATCCTTCATCTTTCAGCCTTCTAGTAGCTAAAGGGGCTGCAGGAAAGCTGGAGAGGGGCTTTGGACAAAGGTCTGTATGGACAGGCCAAGGGGAATGGCTTTAACCTGCCAGAGGGGTGACTGAGATGAGCTCTGAGGCAGGAGCTCTTCCCTGTGAGGGTGTTGAGGCGCTGGCACAGGGTGCCCAGAAAACCCCATCCCTGGCAGTGTTCAAGGCCAGGTTGGACACAGGGCTTGGAGCAACCTGCTCTAGTGGAAGGCTGGGACTGGATGAGCTTTAAGATCCCTTCCAGCCTGAACCAGCCTTGGATTCTATAATTCCATGATTTAAAACTTATCTCCTGCTTTTTAAGCATATTGAATCAATTATATTCATTAGTCCAAATCTAGTACAGCTTATTCACCAATGTAGAATGATGAGATAGAATGATGTGGATGCAGCTGATAGCATTACTCTGCCAGAGTAAGTACCATGAGATATGAGATCCTGTGTAGCTTGTTCATTTAGGGGGAAAAAGAAATATCTTCCTTTTCTCTAAAAATATTTGCTTGATCATCTGCATGTGATGAAGACAGCGAGAGGTGTTAGCTCATGTTTTATTGTAACCAACACCAAGGATATCTACCCATCTCTTACAGGAGCTTTTCTTTAATGGCTGAATAAATCACCTCGAAGTATGGATATTTGGCTCAGTGTTAGGATTTGGGGTGCTCATTTTTGCATTTGTCTGGAACTGTTTGCCGTAGGTAATGGAAGAATTTTCCTTCCTGTTGTCCTGGTGAGGCTTAAAAATGGAACTAAGGGAAACTTTCCTACAAAATCCCTGTTGGAGCAACTAAGGGTATAGTAGTGGGGAGGGTGAGTGGCTGAGCATGACTTCCCAGAAGACTGTCCTTTCACAATATGCCCTTAGTTCTTTAAAGCTGACAGGAAGCTTACAAAGTGGGTTCTTTTTCTGCCCTCAGCCAGTGGCCATTGGCTCAGCTGCGCTTCAGTTACGCCAGGTTGTTCAGTCCGAGCTGCTCACTGTCAGCTGTGAAATACCTGTGGACAAAGAGGGAGATCAGACACAAGTTGGACCACTAAAGGTATGTGTTTTACCAGGTAGAGTTGGAGTTAAACACCAATTTTGGCTCCATATTCTCTCTTCTTTTAATGTTTCCCTCTCTTTGTTTTAATTTGGTGATCTCGGTTCGTAAGACCAATACAAGATATCATAAACCTTTTCCTTAGGGTTTTGGAGAGGTACTGTGAACCTCCTGCATGTCTAATGATGCTGCTGGGTGATGTTCCCCTGCCTGCAGGCTAAAACAAGGTTCAGTATCTAGAGCTCAGATACAGAAACCAATCTACAGGCAGATTTTGAGCAGCACATCCTCAGCGCTGGGAGCTTTGGCTTTTGCTCCACATATGACATGAGCTGAGGTGTGTCCTGGTGCAGAGGCCTGATGCTCCCTGTCATTGGTACCACCTGGTCACTTCAGGAATTGCCTTCTCCAGTCTCTTTCTACCAGCTTACTCAGTTTAGGACTGAGAAGGAGTAAGTCCTGCACAGCACAGTGTGAGAGACCTGGTGGATCTGAGGACAAAGAGCTCTCTAGATTAGAACTGAAGGGTTGAGTATTATGGATGATGATACTTCTTCCCGAGAAGCCATTCAGCAGAGCTGCCAGTAGAGGGGTCACAGAAGGATGAAATGTGAAAAGTAGAGGTTGGATGTGGGAGGAGTAAAGTGAAGGCAGGGAGGAGAAATTTGTATTGTACAGGAGAAGAGGGAATGGAACAAGTTGTGAGAGGGGAAAAGTGGTAGGAAGTGGTGTAGGGAATTAATGAAATGAAGTTTGATGCAAGGACATAAGAAAAGGGAAACTGATACTTAAAGAGGACAAGAGATGTCAGCCACTGGATCCACTTTGTATTTCTTGGGTTCTTTCTGACAGATGGCCTTGAACTTCTCATCTTTGGATGTGTTCTCTATACCTGTTAAGAGTAGATACCATTTGGGATCTTTTGCTGCAGTATCTTGTCTCCTCCCTCCTAAATCCTCCTAAGTCCTTATGGACCTCTTGGAGCAAGTCCAGAGGAGGCCATGGAGATGCTGTGAGGGCTGGAGCAGCTCTGCTCTGGAGCCAGGTTGAGAGAGCTGGGCTGGGTGAGCCTGGAGAAGAGAAGGCTCCTGAAGGGGAGACCTGAGAGCAGCTCCAGTGCCTGAAGGGGCTGCAGGAAAGCTGGAGAGGGGCTTGGGACAAGGGCCTGTAGGGCCAGGCCAAGGGGAATGGCTTTAACCTGCCAGAGGGGAGATGGAGTTGAGCTTTTAGGCAGAAGTTTCTTCTCTGTGAGGTTACTCCCCAGGAGTAACTGGTGCCCATCACCCCTGATCTTCTCCATGGGATTCCTTGTAAAAACATTCTTTGTAGCCACCCTTTAACTCCTGGCACATGGGGATAATGTCTCCTTGAGCATTCTCTTCTCCAGGCTGAACAGTCCCAGCTCTCTCAGTCTTTCCTCACGCGCTGCCCAGTCCTTGGACCATCTTTGTGGCCCTCTCTGGACCCTCTCCAGTCTGTCCACATCTTTTTTGTCACGGTACTTTTCAATGTGGCTAGGTAGGTATTCAGTTTTCAGTCAGCTTTGTGATTGCTTTTCATTTTTTGCCCTTTATTGAGCTGTAACCGTGGTTTTGTACTTCAGGTATGGCTTTATTTGATAAAACCACGTGTAATTTATTTTGCAGTGACAGTTGTAGCTTGTAACCAGCACGTGACTGAAGCTAAAGCCTTCTGGGTGATACCTAATACAATTCTTGAGCAAAACATGCAATGCCTGTTCTTGTTTTTGATTCTTGCACAATGCAGGTGTCCTTAGAGCTCGCAGCCAACAACAAAGACTTCACCCTCACCACTGCCCGGTCACCTATGGCTGCGCAGCAAGCCCCAGTGCATGCTGTGAGAAGTCCTGGGCTGCAATTCCAGGAGCCCAACAGGAAGAGTTTAAGTCCAGGAAGCCCTCACTGCTTGAAACTTAACCACATTGACTCACAGAAGACAGGGGCAGCCACCATGAGCAGGGGGCAGCCGCCACAGGCTGCACCAACCTCTGTAGGCCATCATCTGCTGACACAAATAGCCACGTCTGAAGAAGATGGGTTGTTGCTGCACGTGCTGCTGATGGTGCCTGAGGGAAAGGATTTTGTTGCTGAAGACCAAGGGCTCCCCAGCTCTTGTAATGTGTATTTAAACTGCAAGCTGCTCAGCACTGAGGAGGCAACGAGATCTGCTGTTGTATGGGGCACAACTCAACCTGCCTTCAATTTTTCTCAGGCAAGTTGCATGTTTGCTATTGAGCACTTATTGAAGTGAGTTATTCTACACTGACAAACATGTCAAAGGTAAGTTACTTTTATACATGCAGGAACTTCTCTTCTTGGCTCTATCCAGTGTATTAAAACTACTTACAGTATTGTTTTGGCTGGATGGCACAGTGTGAAATGCAGCTCCTTGAGTCATCTAAGTAATAAGTAAGATATTTGAAGAATGAAAGAGAAATAGTCAAGTTTAGGTTGGAACTGTTGACTTTTCTGCCATTTTGGCAAGAAAGTATGTTATTGATGGCATCCTAATAGATTTTTTTGTTCCGTTGAATCATAGAATCCCATACTGGTTTGGGTAGGAAGGGACCTTAAAACTCATCCAGGTCCAACCCCTGCCATGGGCAGGGACCCCTTCCATAGAGCAGCTTGCTCCAAGCCCCTGTGTCCAACCTGGCCTTGAGCACTGCCAGGGATGGGGCAGCCACAGCTTCTCTGGGCACCCTGGGGCAGCGCCTCAGCACCCTCCCAGGGAAGAGCTTCTGCCTAAGAGCTCAGCTCAGTCTCCCCTCGGGCAGGTTAAAGCCATTCCCCTTGGCCTGGCCCTACAGGCCCTTGTCCCAAGCCCCTCTCCAGCTTTCCTGCAGCCCCTTCAGGCACTGGAGCTGCTCTCAGGTCTCCCCTTCAGGAGCCTTCTCTTCTCCAGGCTGCCCCAGCCCAGCTCTCTCAGCCTGGCTCCAGAGCAGAGCTGCTCCAGCCCTCGCAGCAGCTCCATGGCTTCCTCTGGCCTCGCTCCAACAGCTCCACGTCCCTCTTGTGCTGCTGCCCCAGAGCTGGATCAGGGCTGCGGGGGGGGGGGGGGTGTCTCCCCTTCATGCAGCAGAGGGGCAGGATCCCCTCCCTGAGCTGCTGCTCACGCTCTGGGGGTGCAGTCCAGTACATGGGGGGGGTTCTGGCTCAGGCACACACTGAAGCCGGGTCATGGGGAGCTTCTCCTCACCCAGCACCCCAAATCCTCCTCAGGCTGCTCCATCCAGTCTCTCCCAGCCTGGGTTTGTGCTGGCATTGCCCCAGCTGAGGGGCAGGACCTTGCACTTTGCCTTGTTGAGCTTCATGAGGCTCACACAGGCCCACGTTGCGTTTGTTTTAACAGTACTTGGGGATTTGTGTGACTTGTTAGTCTTCAGCTGAAAGAGTGAAACCTGAAAAGGTAGCAGAAGACATTGAGTGAGCTGTGTGAAAAGATTTATCTGTTGTTAACTAAACAGACATTTAAAGATAAAGCAATGTTTTACAGATAGTTTATGATGTTATTTTATATTTATCCAAATCACATGGATTTTCCTGGCTAGCTCTTTCCCAGGCCTATCAGTTCTCTGAAACTCCTTTGGCAAGTGTACATTTAATTCTTAAGTTCCATTTCTAGGAGCACAGTTCTGTAGACTGGAGTAATGAAGTGTTACCAGACTGTTCTGTACTTAACAAATAGCTTCCAGTGTAGTCTGTGTACTAACTCTGCATTAAACCTTTTCAGGTGATGCCTTTTTCCTTGACTTCCAAACACTTGGAGCGGCTGAAGAACAATGTCATGATTATTGAAGCATGGAACAAGATGGGAAGCCCTGGCTGTGATAGGCTGCTGGGGTTAGTGAAACTGCCTCTGCATCAGTTCTACATCTCATTCAGGTAAACATCCTTGTTCTGTAGTTTAGTGGCTTGGGAAATATCCTGACATGCTCAGGGAAAGAAGCTTTTGTCCCCTCTCAAATCAAAACAAAACAACCAACACCAAAAACAAAACCAAAAAAACAAACACCAAACCACAACAACACAAACACACAAAACAAACAAACACACAAACAACAACACAAACACCAAAAAACACAAACACACAGAACCTCCAAAACAACACACACAAACCTCACCTCTCCCTCTCTTCTCCTCCTCTCACTCCTCCTCCTCCTACACCTCTCTCTCCTCCTCTCTTCTCTCTCCTCTCTTCTCCTCCTCCCCTCCCCCTTCTCCTCCTCTCTTCCACTCCTCTCTTCTCCTCCTTCTCCTCCTCTCTTCTCCTCCTTTCTTCTCCTCCTCTTCTCTCCTCTCTTCACCAACCCCTCTTCTCTCTCCTCCTCTCTTCTCCTCTCTTCTCCTCCTCTCTCTTCTCTCCTTCTCCTCCTCTCTTCTCCTCCTCTCTCTCTCCTCCTCTTCTCCTCTCTCTCCTCCTCTCTTCTCTCTCCTCCTCTCTTCTCCTCTCTCTCTCTCCTCTCTCTCCTCCTCTCTTCTCCTCCTCTCTTCTCCTCCTCTCTTCTCCTCCTCTCTTTCTCCTCCTCCTTCTCCTCCTCTCTTCTCCTCCTCTCTTCTCCTCCTCTCTTCTCCTCCTCTCTTCTCCTCTCTTCTCCTCCTCTCTTTCCTCCTCTCTCTCCTCTCTCTTCTCCTCCTCTCTTCTCCTCCTCTCTTCTCCTCCTCTCTTCTCCTCCTCTCTTCTCCTCCTCTCTTCTCCCTCTCTTCTCCTCTCTCTTCTCCTCCTCTCTTCTCCTCCTCTCTTCTCCTCCTCTCTTCTCTCCTCCTCTCTTCTCCTCTCCTCTCCTCTTCTCCTCCTCTCTTCTCCTCCTCTCTTCTCCTCTCTTCTCCTCCTCTCTCTTCTCCTCCTCTCTTCTCCTCCTCTCTTCTCCTCCTCTCTTCTCTCCTCTCTCTCCTCCTCTCTTCTCCCTCCTCTCTTCTCCTCCTCTCTTCCCCCTCCTCTCTCTTCTCCTCCTCTCTTCTCCTCCTCTTCCTCTCTTCCTCCTCCCACTGTGGGTGTGAGTCACACTGTCCTCATACAGAAATACAAGTACTCTGTGAGAAATAAAGACACTGCTGCATGAGGTTTGGTGCCAGTTTAACTTGTGGCCCTGTGACGCATGAAGACTGTCAGAAATGAAAGTGACTGCACAGGAAAATGAAGCATGGCATTCCATTGGTGATTTTCCAAGCTTGTGACTGACAGTGATTTTCTTCCTGGTTATGCTCTGCAATGGATCCCATTGCTAGGGATGCTGTCAGTGTGCACAGCACAGGATAATGCTTGTATCAAAAAGAGCTCTAAATACTTCATGTTTTAATTGTCCTCTTATCCAGTGGGTCTCTTCAGAGCTCTCTGATCTTTTTGGTTCAATATTTTGTCTTCTTGTTCACTCAAGTAATATAACTGCTTAAAACTATGTAAATTAAAGGAAACACTGGACAGGACTGATTCTTTCTAATGCAAAAGATTAATTCATAGGCCCATAGGATCCCAGCCTGGTTTGTGTTGGAAGGGACCTTAAAGCTCATCCAGTTCCAACCTTCTGCCTTGGACAGGGACATCTTCCACTAGAGCAGGTTGCTTCAAGCTCCTGTGTCCAAGCTGGCCTTGAACACTGCCAGGGATGGGGTATATTTTGGTCACACTAATAATAGGTGCAAATGAGATGGTGCTGGGGCTCACTGACTACTTTGCTATTTAATGATTTATAATAATTCATATAATTTTTCAGTAATCCACTGTAGTTCACTTGGATTAACTTCAGTTATTAAAAGTTTTCACATTTCTCTAGGAGACTGTCCCTGTTCCTTTCCTTCCTGCCCAAATCCATCCTCAAAGGTGTGTAACAGCCTCATAAAAGTATAATATGGCTGCAGTGTATTAATAGGAGTCTTGTTCCAGTTCATCCCCTTGCTCACGTGTCTCTAGGCTGACTTATAACTATGTTAGCTTTTGGAAAGCTGTATTTTGTCATTGCTGAAAATAGCCTTTTCCATTTGGCAGCTCATGGAGCTGGGCTGCGTGAAGACTTCATGCACTTGAGCCAAGTTTTGGAGGAATTGAGACAGATTTATTTCTAAGTGCATTGAAAGTCCCGTCTCAAATGAGCTTTGTGTGATCGTGTTCATATTCCAATGGCTCATTCTCACTTGTTTGTTGTGGTGTTTCTTGTTGTAATCTATTCTAGAGATCCAAAGATTTCCCACTTGCTGCTTCAAGCTCAGTATCCCGTGGTGGCTGTGGACAGCTACATGCCTGTGGTGGATGTTTTTACTGGCAGCAGAAGTGGAAGCCTGAGGGTCATTCTGGCAATGGGGTCAGCGGATCAAATAGCGGCACTGCAAAGGCTGAAAACTGAGGAAGGGATGGTACCTCCCATCACACAGCGACCTTCCCACTCTCTGGATCCTCCTCCTACAAAGCCTGTCATGGTATTGTTCAGTAAATTCCCATTCTTGCTGTTATGGATAAGTGAAAAGCATTTTACCAGTGAGTTCCTTAATGGAGCAGTGATCACCAATCTTTTGATGCCAATTTTGTTCTATATCATAGAATCCCAGACTAGTTTGACTTGAAGAGACCTTAAAGCTCCTCCAGCTCCAACCCCTGCCACGGGCAGGGACCCCTTCCACTAGAGCAGCTTGCTCCAAGCCCCTGTGTCCAACCTGGCCTTGAACACTGCCAGGGATGGGGCAGCCACAGCTTCTCTGGGCACCCTGTGCCAGCGCCTCAGCACCCTCCCAGGGAAGAGCTTCTGCCTAAGAGCTCAGCTCAGTCTCCTCTCTGGCAGGTTCAAGCCATTCCCCTTGGCCTGTCCCTACAGGCCCTTGTCCAAAGCCCCTCTCCAGGTTTCTTATCAGCCCCCTAACATCCTCTTGTATGCTGTTTCCTAAAGAATCATCCTTTCCATGTAGATTCCCTTTGTTTTATTAGCAGTTAGACCCAGAAGGGGAAGACCTGCTGGAGCATGTGTTTGAGATCCATGTGGAGAGTGTGAAAGGACTGACACCATTACAGTCCACTGTCTGGGGAGAGGCTGACTGCTACGTACAGTACTACTTCCCAGTTCAAGAGGCTGGTTGTGGTGCACTGCAAGGAGCTGAATTGCAGGAGGATGGTAAGTTTCTCTTACAGTCCGAATTTAGAGCATTGCTTCAGTTAAATCTTGTTTCATGTATGATACTTCTACTTAAAAGGGTGTGTGATTTCAGAGCTTTCATGCAGCCAGAGCTTGCTGTCCTCAGATCTGCA